TAGTGAATAATGTGTTTTAAACGAAGTGATCATCAAATTCTTTAGCTTGAGTTGTTTAAAATGTCTAAAATGTTTACATCGCTTTGAAGACATCGTGACATTTTGAAATTCGCACAAACTAAGAAATCTGATATCTTGAAGACCATTATTGTTATAATGGTCTTCGGCATTGAAATCTTATATAAATACGCACATCTCAATATTATTACAGCTTTGCGTAAATACACATATCTCAATGTTACACATAAGTACAAAAAAAAAAAGAAAAACTCGGAGAAAAATATTTGCTTATTTATCGTTCAATTTGAAATCGCCCAAAGGCGGAAAAGCATTCCCCCGCACAGTGGATATGAGTAATTTTAGATTTCTGGCCGAAAAGATGTCTAGGGCTCTCGAGATGCTGATACTGTTTTCGGTGTTATTATTACACGAACGAGGCATCGCGCCGAATTTTACTCTCATCAAGTGACTGCCATAAAATATACAGAAGAAAACTGTTTCACTGAAGTATCTAAAAATTTAGCTAGATACAAATCTGAAAATAATTTTGTTAGATCATAAAATAAATAATGTAGAGAACTTGAACGTTGATGATAATGCTGCAAAAAAATATTGACATTCTAATAACTAATTTGAGCGTCCAGCATAATTATTTTTATGGTCCAAAGAAAGACTGCTTTTAAATTTGAACATCCAACTAAATTTATACATGCTACAAAACTGTTCTTCTCATGTAATATAACTTTTCAATAATTTGAAATTATTTCATTCCTCTTATATTTGTTAATTTTATAGTCAATAATTATTGAAAATCGTAAATAGTATTAGATTTTTTTATGAACAGATCAGTAGTAGTCCTACGTATCTCTTTCATATTTATTAAAAATATTTCATAAATGCGTTAAAATTGCCATATAACGGCAATATGCAATTTTTTTTGCGCGATCAAGACCTGTTTTTTTTTTTATGCGATCATTACTTCTGTTGGTGACAACAAAGGAGTTATCGATTCGAGGTAAAGAGAAGAAGATAAGGACATACGAATCTCGAAACAGTAACCCAGAAGAAAAGAATTCGACACGATCGTACAGCGCGAATGAGCCGCGAGGACGCGGCCGCAGCTGGAAATAGGTTCGACGCGAGAGCTCGTCGTCTGGGTCCTCCGACGCTTCGTCAGTCGATTCTGCCGTACATCTCTCTCGATAATCATTCTCCTTTCTTCCTTCCTTCTTATTCTATGTCAAAACCCCTCAATCAAGACTTTATATTTTCTTTTCTACATAAAATCATCGCTTTGTTAGGTTTTTTAATTTTTATCATCTAAAATTTCTCCTTTCTTTCATAGAAAGGAGTTTCTGAATTCATAGTTTAATGTTTGTGACTCGAACTTGAAAGGTCTTCAGTTTCTTAGCTTAGTCTGACGTAGGACGATAAACTGGAAGAGGGAAACTTTATTCGCGCGAGTACGACAGTCGAATAGACAGAGCCTGGTGGTATCTGGAAATAGGTTAAACACCCGGGATTTAGTTCATCATCTGGGATTCCTCGTGGATCTTCTGGGGTCTCCTGATTGCTCTGATAGGATTCTATACATCATTTCGCGGAACTTCAGGGAAATTGATGTCGACGTGCTGCTGGCGATAGGTCCGTATTACGCGACGTCGCGAGCTGAAGGCAATCTACGAATGCGCAGGGTGGTCGTCGCGGCTGGGACGGTATTATGTTTTCAGCGGGGACGATAGCCGTGAAGAAGAGAGGGGTAAGCGCAAAAATAACTCTAACGTGCGCTAAAAGTGGCGTCCACCGGAGCGCCAGCCTTGCTACAGCGCGTTTAAGAAGCGGGCGGATCTTTCGACGATTGTCCTTCGGTTCGGTCGATCAATCTTGAATTTCAGGATGCATTTTACCCTTTAATATCCCTATTAAATTCAAATTAAAAGGAAAATTGCGCAGAAAAAATCATTAAAAAATACCCAAGTGGAATAAGAAGTCAAAATGACATTAAAATGAACTGATTGAAAAGTGACTCTTAGTAGTCATTTTGATGTTTCTACTTGAGTAAGAACGTCCTTTAACTTTGCACAATAAATGTCTCTACAACGCGCGCGTTAACTTAAAAAGATTAAGTGTAATGCTGTCTTCATTTTGCTGTTTAAGTTACGGTGAATGCAGGATTTCGCGACAATGTATTTTGAGTCGACGCGGTAAAAGTAAACTTCTCGTTCTTACCGCACGTCTGTGGCACGATGCATTTGCGACCGAAAATCTGGGGTCGATTATATCACTCGGTATTACGAAAAGATGATTCAAGAGAAAATCACGGTGAGTATGCAAGTTCTTAGGCGACATGTAGGAGCGTGAACAGGTTGTCAGAAGTTTTATCTCGCGCCGGAAACTTTACTCCCTGTTGCAAAATATGCACTTGCAAACTCATTGTTTCCATAACGTCCTTCATTCATTATCGGTTTTCATTTATCATATCTTCGAAACAACGACGTTTAATTTCTCCGAGATGTGTGTGTAAAAGTTGAATGTATAAATCCGCAACAATCTCGCAAAATTTGTTGTCTTGCTTAAAAATCGTATACGAATGTATCTGATACTTAATTGTACAACGCGTTTGACATATCAAAAAAATATCATCACACTACATTTATTTTAATATGAATTAATACATTTATTTAATATTAAAATTATATTAATTTAACTTAATATTATATACATGCGAATATTAAATGAATTCGACAAATCCTCAGATCATGGCTGAATCGTCGCTCGTGCGCTTCCGCATCTCGCCATGCGTCACGCTAATGAGTCAGTTCTCGCTATATATGTTTCCTGGATTGCTCTAACAAGCAAAGGCTCATAATACGTCGCCCTCCTATCACGAAATCCAGAGATGTATACAAATCTGAATCAATATTTGCATATTTTTAAAACATCCTGAAGATCACCGTGTAAATATATTTTTAAATACCTTAAGACATATCGGGTGTATTGACACCCATGTTTAAGTATTGGATTTCACAGATGTGTAATTCTATATTTATCTTGTAAAAAATGCAGATCGATATTTCTATTTATTGAGTCTCGTCTATATATTGAAAAAAGAGGAAGGATTGTGTTACATCAATTATCTTTGGGGAGCTCCGAAAAGCGTACACAAGGATGCATTTTGGCGGATTGCCACGCGAGATGTGACCTTTGGTATATTCAGCTTATAGTGCAATTCAATATCTCAATACATTTAAAAAAGAAACAAAGTCGTTCAATCAATTCAGATATTCTTCTATGGATGATTGGTAAGAAAGGTCGTCTACAGCCTAAATTAAATGAAGTGTTTCACGCGCGGCATTAGGTTGCTAGATTAGCAAACTCGGGAGGCCACCTCGAGACAGGCTGTCCTACTGAGCGGTCGTAGCACTTGGCAGAAGAAGTAGATTTAGTACCTGTTAATTCTCACGTGAGGGTAATTTGTGGCAGTAAAACTATCGTTCATAAAACGTGTATATCGGTGATATTAAAGTATCATGAAACTATAATTTTACAGAAGACTTAGTCATACAATTATCTCTGAAGAGAGAGAGAGAAAGAGAGAAAGAGATAGAATCTTTAAAAATATTTAGTTAATATATAAGCATAAAACTTTATTTTTTAGAAACATCGTGAATTCTAATGTGTCTCGAACAAAACGTTGCTGCATTTTTCCTAAAAATGTATAATGTATGTATATATATACAATACTTTTTATCAACGATATATTTTATGCGATAACTTTTTAATATTGTTTAAAGATAAAAACGTATAAATGAAAATGATAACTATTTATAAATAAAGTTTCCCGAGATCATTTACAAAAAAATCACTATTTTTTGCTGTATATAGAACAGTTTCAATGGCGAATAGTGTTCCGTAACTTTAACTGTAGCTTTCATCAACACCCACACTCGCGCGTTATATAATAAATATATTAACGAGAATTCGGATAATATTAATACTTTTTTATTATTACGATTAATCAAAACAAATTATTTTAATACGATAAGAAGTAAAAAAAAATCATAAAACCACAAAATAATACAGAAGTGATAAAATAATACAGTTTTACTGTGATTAGAAATTAAAAATATTTGTCACACGAAATATCTGAATCTTTTCTCTTTTTCTTCTTCTTTTGAAAGAAGATAAGAACTAAATCTGTTATATTTAAAGCCAATAATTGCGTAGACACATTCTTTTTATTCTTAGAAAATATTGTAAGAAATTTATATTAACAATTTATATAAATAATTTACGAATATTTCAAGATAACATTTCAAGCTAAGGTTTCTTAGCTTGAAAGTTCCAAGCTAAGATCTCGCTTTGCTAATGCCTTTCATATTTATCATAATCCATTTATCACTGTCGTATGCATTTCATATACATTATTTTATTTTATAAATATTATTTTCTTATATATATGTATTTAAAGCATTATGTTCCGCCAAGCATAGCATTTATGCTTATTAAATATTATTATTTATTCGTCGAAGAATTCTCTTTATTTTTATATATTATGAAATATATACGCACGATTTTTTCGTAATATATATAACTGCGCAAATGAAAAATAAGACATTTAAATGTTTGCGCTATTTTACGAGTGATTTCGTGAAAAATAAAATTTCGAATTAAGTTCTCGAGAATTCATTATCAAGCATGTGCATGGGGACAAAAAAATATCCATGTGTCGACATTACCTTAACATGTTTAGTAGTTGAAATGATCAACATATGACAATTTTTCATATTAGAAATGTAACATTTTTTTAAATTATAAACAAAAATTCTTGTGTAGACATTTAAAATATTTAGTCCGTGTATTATAAATTCGAGAGTTGCGTCGTACCTGTTGTCGCGTGCGGCCCTGCTTTAGATAGATAGAGGACTTGTTTATCATTCGAGATCACACTATAATTTGTGATAAAGTCGAAGGATCGTTACACGAGTGATAGAACTTACACCAATACACGGCAACAAAGTCCTTCTCGTTGAGGAGCCGTTCGAGTTGCTTGGCAGTGACTTCCTCGATCACCGGCTCGGCCTCCTTCTGTCTGCCGGCCGAGCCGCGGGACGAGGCCGACTCCTCGGCTTTTGTCCTTGCGGCGGCGTCAACGTGACCAAGGAGGACCGAAATCAACGCTAGTACGCTCAGAAGGATGATTGTCCTCGGGTAGTACATCGTCGTCGGCATCGTAGGGCCGCGGGTCGTAGTACTCCGCCTTCTTCTTCGCCAGCACCACCACCATCGGCCGAACCGTACCGCCGAACCGTCGTTCGCTGTCGACATCGCCGCACTGACTGCCGCACATCGGCTATTTTTGAATTTTCGGACAGCCACACAGGGGAACGGTGTTAGGAACGACGGAGACGAAGCCGAAGACGATGACGGTGACGGCGACGACGATGGTTAAGGTGACGTCGCCGTGTTGTATTTACCTATCCACATTCTCTGTTGCAGTACTTTATAATAGAGTAAATTTTTTATTTAAGAGAAACAAAGCTCTTTTAGCTACTTTGGTTGCAGTATAAAAGGATAATAGCCTTAATAGTAATAGCTATTATAGTATACTTTATCCTAGAGATCTTCCTAGGAATGTTCTCAAGATCTTTGTTATATGGGGGATCCTTCGATCTTATTACACTAATATTAAATACTGTTAAAGTAGTACACTCGCGAATTAAAAACAGTTAAAATTTTTTGTAATTGAAACGATACGTTGTTCTATACATTGACACGCTGTAATTACAATGAGATTGACAATTTCAATACTGACATGAGATATAAATAATTAAAAACTACACTTTTTTTTATGCAGTTCTTGAAAATATCGCGTTTATTTTTGTAGGATCTAAACTAGTAGTGATTAGTGATATCCTGATATATTAATAAAAAAACAAGCGATTATACAAAATATACACTATTGCACTAATAGCATATGTTTTTCATGTTTAATTAAATATGGTACATTATACGCCTCAATCTTTTATACAATTTAAAAATTTCTATTAACTTAACCAAATTATCCCTCTTTACTCTATAAGATATCGATGTTTGAATATATATATATAGGTACGCGAGGACAGTTTGCTAGTACAGTTGATCAGTAACCTCGGTATACAACAGAACAGCTATGACAGATTCAGAAGGAAAGTGTATTGCTATCATCGGAGGTGGTTTGGTGCGTGAAATATTTTTATTTTTCGATTTTGGTGTAAAAGGACGGTGAATAAGAAAAATAAGCTATTGCTCTCATTGCAGGTTGGAGCATTAGCCGCGTGTTTTTTCGCTAAAAGAGGTCATCAAGTAGTAATTTATGAATATCGATCGGGTAAAAAACGTTAAAAAATTATATCAAATTTTAGCACTTTAGATTTGCCTATCTCGTAACTTATTACACTTATAAATTTCTATTCTATATTCTTTACAACAGAACACATTAGTATATAGATGTATAACCAGTTGTTCGTGCTTAATATTTTCTTATATGTAGTATAATTTTAGGAAAAAGTTGATAAATGGATGATTATTTCCTAAAGCATTTAAAAATAATATCTCGAAATTTATTAATTTTGAGATATTATATTTTTTAAATGCTTCAGGAAATAATATCTCAGATAAATAATCGATTTTAAGTCTTTATATTTTTAGATATACGAACGGAAAAGTCGCATGGTCAAAGTATCAACCTGGCGCTGTCATTCCGTGGCAGAGAAGCTTTAAAGGCAATCGGTCTCGAAAATATTTTGGTAAAATGTCATGGTACTTGTATGCGCGGAAGAATGCTCCACGATAAAGACGGCAATTTGAAAGAAGTTCTTTATGACAGCGTCAAAGGAAATGTATGTCTTTATTATTTCTAATTATCTTCTGTTCATACAAATAAGTTTGCTTATTTTTTAAATGTTTATATGAGTTATTTTTTATTTTACAGTGTATTTACTCCGTTAATAGGCGATATCTCAATGTGGTTTTATTGAATGGTATGTTCCCTTTTTTGTATTGTTTGACATAAATTCGTTGTTAACAATGTTTAACATGTAAGTTTATTATTGTCAATATTTATTTCAAGAGGGAGGGTTGACTTTTTCTGACAAAATAAGAATAAAAGTAGAAACATAAAACAGAATATGTGTGTGTGTAAATTAAAATAAATTCTATTTGTGAATTAATGATACCTTTACTCTATTCTAAACTTATTTAAAAAATTAATTTCCATTGCACATTTTTTATTTATATTATCTGTATTTTATGTTGAATTATTATTTAAAGTAATAATCTTTCCTTATATTCAATCAATACTTGTACAAAAAAACAACTTATTGTCATAATTTATTTAAAATAAATATCATATTAATCATATTGCAAGTAAGTCAAGGAAATACGAGATTGAATGCGGAATGTAGTTAAAAAAAGCTCTTCTACTCCTACGTGATATTCGATGACGTTGTCGTGTGCGAAGCCGTAAAAATTCGCGCGTATTATCTTACTCGCAACACCTGCTTTTTATTAAAGTAAATTTAAGTCGCGATATCAGGTAACTAATCTAACAGAAAATCTAATTTAAGATCTATATAAATTTCGTTTTGTTGTGATTATATTTTATTAACAGCCGCCGAAAAATATCCGCAAGTACAATTCAATTTCAACAGAAAGCTTGTAGAAGCTGATTTAGAGAAAGGAAAGATGAAGTTCTTAAAGTGAGTGAATGAACAATACTGTTATCGGAAATTAGTATTATATTTTGTTCTATTTAATTAGTTTCTTTCTCTCTTTTTTAGTATTAATACGGGGGCAACGGAAGCCGTGGAAGCTGATTTGATAATTGGCGCCGATGGCGCGCATTCGACGGTACGAAAAATTATGGCTAGGAGACCGCTCTTTAATTGCGCTCAAACATATATCGAACATGGATACGTGGAATTATCAGTGCCATGTAAAGAAAACAATAAAGTGAGTATCGTAAAATAAAATAGCTTTGGCCCAAAATTGGGATAACTTTGACCCAAATTTTGATAATGCTCAGATACACGTTCAAAATCGAGAGAGAAAAGACTTAAAAATGTCTTAACATCTTTCACGAGATAGAAAAATTTAATGTAGAAAACGATGTAGGATATCTTATACTTCATACTATACTTCATAAGTATATGAGTTTAGTGCGACTAGCAATGTCATAACTCTTCAGTTAATACTACATGAAACGATAATTTGCGCACAGTATTTTTTAAAAAATTACATCTTGCTGGGATATATATGTTACTCCTTATTTAGTTTTTCAGAAGATCAAAGACGTTTAAGTTTATATCTTATTATTGGACATGCGTGTTGTCATTCATGTAAAGTTGGCCCCCCAATATTAAAAAATCGATTTTTTAAATTCTTATTTACCCTGTCATATGAATATATTTAAACATTTTGTTCTCCTTTAAGTTTGCGATGAACGGTAACAATCTTCATATTTGGCCACGTGGTGAATTTATGATGACCAGCCTTCCGAATGAAGATCACACATTTACCGGCAATTTGTTCGCTCCGTTTCATGTCTTCGAAAAATTGAAGACGCGCGACTCATTGTTAAGCTTTTACATTGAACATTTTCCGGATCTTCTACGATTGATCGGTGAGGAGAAATTAGTGGAGCAGTTTTTTAAAAAAAAACCGCAAACTTTAATATCAATTAAGGTTAATTTTAAATTTATTATATTCTGCTATCATCCAATTCATTAAATTCTAGTATAAATATGATCTAACTTCTTACATCTTACAGTGTAAACCTTATCATGTTGGGAAAACCGCTATCATAGTTGGAGACGCTGCTCATGCCATGGTGCCTTTCTACGCTCAAGGAATGAATACTGTAAATTATTTTATTGAATCGGTTTGTCTCTCGATTTGAGAGAACTAAATTACTTCGCAACATTTACAGAGAAAAAAAATAAAATGCAACTGTTGCTCTATTATATATATATATATATATATATATATATATATATGGGAGATGTCCTAAATCGGACCGGAAAATGCATTTTTATATTTTCCATTCTAGTTCGACATAGATAAGAGATACATCAAAATGGTCTAAAGCAAAAATGAAGGGGGGCGGGGAATTAAATGATCTTTCAAACGGCACTATTGGTCTTATGATCAGACTTTATTTACGACTTGTAGAGAACAAAAATTGCAAATAGGTTCGATTTAGACCACTTTCCCCTATCTATACTCTTTTACTTTAAAAGTGATACGATAATTTAAAAACTATTTTTTTAAATAATAAGTTTACTAACTATAATTAAAGAAAGTATGCAAGTGAAATATATTTTTAACGTAATTAAATTTTTTTTGTTTTATAATCGTTAAAAAGGTTACCTTTTTTTAAATTTTAATGGTTTTTTAAACTACTTTTTTAAAATTGTTACGATTTTTTAAAATTCTTTTTGAGTGTGATGATAACGATTTTTTATGAAGTTTAGTTAGTTTATTTTTAATGATTGACATAAAATAATTTTTATTTAATTAAATATTATTCATGAGTTAATCAATCGAAAATAATGTTTTTTTAAGTGATATTACTTTTGAAGAAAGCGATATGTTACCATAATTAATATAATTTGCTTTCATAATAATTTCTATTTTATTTCGTTAGGGCTTTGAAGATATTTTAGTGCTTGATGAATTAATGGAACGTTACGATTCAAACTTTGCAAAAATTCTGCCGAAATTTTCGGAATTACGATGCGATAATGGGCACGCGATATGTGATCTGGCAATGTATAATTATATAGAGGTATACATATTAATCAAATTTATCTATTATTATTTTCAGATACTCGTGTACTTTGGTCGACTCAAAATTAATTTTTAAATTGTATCTTTCAGATGAGAGATTTAGTGACGAAGAAATCTTTTCTTTTTCGAAAGTTTGTAGACAAAATTTTATTTAGCCTTGTTCCCAATTTCTGGATACCGCTTTATTTCGCCGTGCAGTTTACTCGCATGAGTTTTCGTGAATGCATAGCGCATAAAGAGTGGCAGGATAAGGTATGGATAAGATAACGCAAGCGATAAAATGCATGCAGCTACAAAAATGATCTCTTATATTACAGGTATTGAGAATGAGTCTTTTTTATCTCGCATTTCTAATTTTTGCTGTCTTAGCTGTTTCTTTTTTGCGAAATGCAATGTGAATTCGATCGTTGCCAAGTATTATTAATTAATTGTAATTTAATGATACGGATAACATAATTAATAACTAATTTTTATAAGAAGTATTTTTACGTATTTAACTTCTCATATAAATTTTTATAATTTTATATACAATAATGGCACTTACTCTAATGACTAAAAATTACTCAATTTATATATAATTTAAATTTAATTTAAATTATACATAAATTATATAACAATTCTAATAATTCTATTAATTATTAACGTGTTATATATTTTATCAAATGGAACACACAAAATACATATTATTTATCATTTATATATAATAAACTTATCGCATATTTGAGCATAAGTGGTACAACTTCATTTTTAAATACACACAAAAATTTGACTTTGAGATCTTATTTAAAAAATGACATTAATTTTAATAATGACTTAATATGTTTCTGACAAACAAGGATACATATTTTACATGTATGTAATATAGAAATCGGCATATAATTAAATTCTGTTAATGTATTTTTTGCGTCTTTTTAAGTTCTGACTTTGCTTTCAATCTAAGTATTAAAAATGTGTGCGTTTGTAAGTAAATTAATATCAAATTAATAATATTTAACATTGTACTGATTGTACAATTAACATCTCTTAATTAGAATCCTCTTTCTACGTCTTTAAAATAGATAACGATCTTTTTAATGGATGTTTGAAACCAGCACAACTTCACATTTTATATTATATAAAACTTGCAATCGAATAAATATCATAGTTCGAGAGTAATATTCTCCGCATTTTTTATATAATTATATTTTTGCGTTTCAAAGAGTTCAACTAAACTTTTCATAAATTTTTCGTGATATTCGTTGATTTGTTCAATTGTAGGTTCAGCTATTTTCGGTAGTTCAATTGGACTTCCAACTATAATAAAGAAAAATATTTAAATATATTTGAATATAGAATTAAAAACATTAGATAATTAGCAATTTAACGTGCACATTAATATTATATATAATTAATATTATATTACATATACACTACTCAACAAAATGGGAACACTTTTAAACACGCTAAAAATTGAGTAATATTCGGAATACCGTAACTCGTTGAAAAATCATCGCAGACAAAAAATTAAAAAAGCATTTTAAAGGATGAAATCTCTACTTTCGAAATCTATAATTGAAATTTCAATATGACTAATACTTTACGGTGTTCTACGGACACAAATGGATATCCGTCAAATCTAAAAATTTTTCACAAAATTTACAAAGGTCTATGGCGTGAAGTAAAAATGACCCGAAAATGCGATTCGCAAAAATCAAAAGGGTAAATCTTTACCTTTAATTTGTTTTTTTATTGAACGTTGTACGATTTCTTTTCGCCGAGTTATTGAACGTTGAAGCAAAAGTAATCACTAGATTTTATTGAGTAGTGTATAATAATTTGCGTTGCACCAATGAATAAAATCGAATATATATATATATATACATATATACATATATAAAGAGAACTTTACCCACTACGGTGACAGGTAATCGCTTCGGAATAAGACCAAATGAATACTGAAAGAATCCTCTGCCCGAAAAAACAACGGGTGCTAATCCAATGAGATTGCGAATATAGTTTTGTATGCGTCTGAAAGTCGATCCTTCTGGGCTGTATATTTGATTGTATAAATCTGTTTCGCCAAAAGAGAAGACAGGAACCAACGCCGTACTGAATCATAGAGTTATATTAGATTTTGAATTGTGTATTGAATATGATTGCTGTACATAATTATATCATACGTAATTATCGGTTATTTCTTTTTTTGTGTTTTATATTATCCTATATTTTTATTGATGATTTACATTTTATAAGATAACTATCTATACAGGGTGGTCCACTTAAATCGAACTGTATATTACGTAAAGATTTACGCACAGAATGCAAAACAATTTTTTTTGAGATATAATTTTGCTTAAGGCAAAAAAAAACTATACTATCAGCAGATTGCAAAACAATTTTTTAGAAATGTGATTTGAGATAAACGCTGTCATAGAAATATTACTTATGTCATAGTTAAAAATATAGCTCCATTATCTCAAAACAGTTCTTACTATATTTCGTCGTATCGTAAAGCTCAATGCGAACTTTTGAGCGATGCGCACTTTTAGGCGGTCTTACCATAATGTTTATTTTTTATTTACTTATAATAACTTAAAAATTACATTTTTTAGTCATTTTGTAAGTAAAGAAACGATATTAATATCTAAAAAGTATATAACTCACCCGTACTTTAGAGCTAGTTTTACAAATCCTTTTCTTCTTTTTATAATGATACGATATGTACCCGGCTTTGATTCCATCGATTCAGAAGCACCACCGACAACAAGAACTGTAATTCTTCCGGTATATGGATTTTTTGGTGGTGTTGATAATAAATACTTGATACTTTTCAAGCTAGAAGCACAAGTACCTATAAGTATTCGATAATTTAACGTTATAACTAACAATTACAGAAAATATAACATTCTAAGTGGTATTCATTGATTTAAAAAAAAAATTCTTTTTTAAATCAATTATCAAAAATCATACATATATACTATATATATGTATATATATGCAAACCAGTATAAAAACAATACTTTTTTATATGAAAAAATTATTTGAAGCAATTTTCTCTGTAAACAAGAAAATATGTAATGTTACAATGGCTACATTCAGTAGAAAAGTAGCTTCGTAATTGTTGTAAAATTTTTTAATATAATTGGATTTTTATTTAGTGAGAAACTAACAAAGTAAGGGCAAGACCAATCATATTAAAGAATTTAACAAAGTTACAAAATTTGATTATCTACTGAGTGCAATTAATAAATCTATGCATATATATAATTTTTATCTACTTCCTATAATTATAATATATTTACATTTAAATATCAAAAGAGTATTTATTGTACATTGCAAAATTTATTCGCAATTAAGCGAGAAAAATTTAATGAATGACGAGAAATATAATTAAATTTTTACCTAAAGAATAAGGATATTCTCTGAATATAGGTGTTTTGAAGTGTTGATCGAGAGTAATTGGACGGATTTCTAGTCCAGGAAATAGCTTCTTACAGTTCAATATGTCTGTTCCAAATGAACCAAATATTCCAATCGATAAAATGCCATGCGGTACACCAATAAAAAGATACGATTTTTTGGGATCTAGATCTACTGTTTTCACTAATTTTAACGGAAAATAATTGCAAAAATAACGCCAAAACGCATTATTTCTTGCCATTCTTGTCCACATTTCACTGAAAAATGTAAGATATAGTCATTTTTTAAACATTAATAATTTATGTTTTTAAAAAGTTTAATTATTGTGGCTAAAATGACTTTTTCTTATTTAAATTCAATGAATATTCAAAGATTTTTTTACTCATTGGGTGCGTTTAATAGAACGCAACAGTTTTGTAACCATTTTATAATTGCCTGCTGAACAGTCTTAAATGCATTTAATGTTTCAACACGTTTATTCAATGATTGTCATAATTTCCAGCAAATTAAAAGTACGCTAACATTAAGTCTCAAGCAAATCGTATTGATCAAAATGGCTGTTTTCAATGTATCGTTTTTTTAAACAACGTAATATACTTTTGAAAATATATAGAATATAAAAGGTTACAAAATAGTTTATATAAATATTGATATATACGAAAATAAAAATATATATAATTATAATTCAGATAAATTTGAGGTAGTATTATGGTTGCTATTTTATCTAATTTTTTCTTTAACTTTTAGTAATAAATATGCGTTTTAGCGTTTATATCAAAAGAGCGTTCAGCAGAACACTCAAATGTTGCAACTTATCAGTAAACCGTTGCGCAAGAGTTGCGTTCGGCTGAATACATTTATTTACTTTGTTGGATTAAGTAATTGTCTTTAAGTGTTGTCAAAATTTTTTCTTTTTACCGATTACTAAAAAAAAAAGATTAACAGAATTCTTACCTTCTACCACCACTATGACAAGTGTCCCAATCGTAATACATCCAGAGAAAATATAATAACAGGAAATAACGTAGCGTTTCTGTGTAGAATATAAGATAAACAGTAATTAAATATCCCCAAAAATTACCGAAAGGGGTTACAAAAGTCCATATCGCAGCAGCCAACGTTTGTAATCTTCTTTCCAACGGTATATTTAACGGTGCAAATTTCACGCCCAGAATTTCCATGTTTCTCGCTAAATCTTCGTTCAAAATTCAAATCACCGGAGAAAACCAGTTTTTCGTTTAGTTACGTATATGGGTTGCGTGTATAAGGTCCGGTTTTACTATATATAATCACACAGAAAAAATAAAATTAATCATAAAATTTCTACAAAAAATTAATTGATCTAGACTTTTAACTTTATTTCTCAGTTTAACTTACTTATTATTTTTCCTTAATTTTTAGAATTAGAAAAAATTAAAAAAAATTGAGTTAACCTTACATTGATGGAATCTAAGTTATTTTTTTATAATATACCGATTGTGCATCACTTTAACTGATAGTGGTTTCAATATGAATTGACACTTTATCAAGCGGACGCACAAAGTCTATCTTTGATTTCAACAAGGAACGAATTTATATCTTTATCTATCCTATTTTTAATAACTTTCTTAACATAGAGTCGCAAACTGATTGTTTATTTAATTTTTTACGTCGTTTCCATCATTATATTTTTTTTCTACTATATTTATGTATTTTTATATTGTATATAGCTAAGTATATATTTTTATTTCATGACATATTTTATTTTATAATAAGAAGAGTGAAAAATTGATCCAACATGAATCATAATTAGACGTTTATTTGTATGTTTGCAGAGATATTATAAATCGTAATCGCGATAAATTATCGGTGTATCGGTCTTTTTTGTCTAAATTTTAAATAAAAATGCTTTTTTACTCTTTTATTGATAAAAATGGTACAATGTGATACGATCAAATCAAATAGTACGGACAATATTTCGCAATACATAAGACTAGGTGTTCCGCTACGCTGCACCAAAACTTTCTATCTCGCTTTCACCAAACTTCACAAACATATATATCTATTTTATTTTAAGTACAATGAATACATAGCAGCCCAAACATAAAGAACAGACTTAAAAGCAAATACTTCACGATACTTCACTTGCTTAATAGAATTTATTATAATAATTTTACATATGATTTCATGGATTTATGGTTCCGTTTTATACTGCTTAAAAATTTGTATGAGAGAAGAACGAAATGCCTTATCATTATCAAACTCTTATATTATCAACTGCTATAGATACTAGCGATTTCGAATAGATATCTAAAAGATGTACGTTTATATTTAAAGATAAAGTTCAGCTAGTAAATATATAATAATGTGAAAATATAAATTGTAAAAATATCAGTTTGCTAAAGATATTTCAAGTGTCTTATCATCTCCATTTTTCATAGATATAATAATAAGAATAGACTGAGCATTTCTATGAAATTGTCACTATCCGTTTAGAAAGAGTAAGGTAACTGAAATCGTGCCATTCTCTCTCTCTCTCTCTCTCTCTCTCTCTCTCTCTCTCTCTCTCTTTCTCTCTCTCTCTCTCTCTCTCTCTCTCTCTCTCTCTCTCTCTGTCTCTCTCTCTCTCTCTCTAGGTTGCAAAGAGATACTGATAGAGTTGAAAAGAGATGCAGCTATGGTTCAATATTTTCTAGTGGAGCATAGATCCGGGAGCTAAGGTCAGGAAATACACAATCTATACCTGATCTAAACCTTACCATGGTATTTTTTAAGATTGTAATAAATATATAACCAAATAGATCAAATCTAATTCAAATAAACCTGTTGAAAGTGAAAAAACCAAATAAATTTGATTATTATTGTTTATAAAGAATCTATTTACATTTAAATTTTCACATAAATTTTCACAAATATTATGAAACAAATTCAATTTATAGTACAACTTATGTCGCAAGCATACGTACTAAACTTTGATTTTACTCCGAACAGCTCGATCATACACTAAAGATTCACGCTTTTCTAAATTACCTAGATTGTTGTGGCTATCTTGGCAATAAACAGGTACAAATTTTCTTTTAGTATATCACCAAGTCAGACTATCGTCTCCTATAGATGAAATAGTACGTTTCCAAGCAATACTACGACCACGTGTATGCGCCGTATGTAAATATATTTATACTTGCGACGACTTCCACACGGAACGTTTAGCACGGCGTCATGTGTCTTACTGTTGGATCGTCGATAGCATGAGGAGAAAGCATGTCCGACGGAGGACACAAGTGGTTACTCATTCACACGCGCACGGACAGATGGACGGTTGGCCATGAACGAAGCTCTAAAACGTATAGTCAACATTCGACGTTGAGACTCATTCTAGTATATAACGTAGAGTTTATTATTAATTATTTAACAATTGAATGGAGTCTTTTAGATTATATATGAATCATAAACCAATATCTTGTCATGTAAATTTATGTGTATAGGATAAATGTGTATAGGGGTGATGAGCCCTCTATTATATTTGATTATCGGAACTGTCTTGTCATTCAACATGATTGAGGACACGTTCGGTTTACTCATACTTTTTTTAGTGTTAACAATGCAGTTTAATAAACATTTCTCTCTGGCCAACGACGTTGACGACGACGTATCTTAAAATAAAACGTGAAAATTCACAGATCCGGACTTTGCACCGCGATATCTCCGCTCGTAGGGCACGTAGAAAAAAAATGAAAGCACTTTTATCATACAATTTAAGTATTTGCTATCGATTGAGCGTATGTAGAACATTGATCAGTTCAGCCGTTACTGAGATATGATCATTTCAATCCCCTGAATTTGTCAGAAAAGAGGCACGGCAGTGTCGCGCGCTTGGCTTGTTAGTGCGAGACACTACCGTGTCTCCAGATACCATATTAATATATAATCGCTTATTGTATATCATTAACAAGTTATAATTAAATATTTTATAAGAGTTCGAGAGTAACATTATCGGCATTTTTTATGTAATTATGCTTTTGTGTATTGAAGAATTTAATTAAATGTTCTATGAATTCATTGTGATATTTATTAATCTCTTCAGACGTGGGATCCTCTATTTTGGGCATTTCGATAGGACTACCAACTAAAATAAAAAGAAACCTAAAATTAAAATTATTAATTAATAACTATAGTAAATAATAACTACTATTAATAACTAATAAATTTTATTATAAATAAATATTTATTTGATAGTACATAAAAAAAATTTTACCAACTACGGTAACCGGTAATCGCTTCGAAATAAGGCCAAATGAATACTGAAAGAATCCTCTACCCGAAATAACAACGGGTGGTAACCCAATGAAACTGCGAATATAGTTTTGTATGCGTCTGAAAGTCGATCCTTCTGGGCTGTATATTTGATTGAATAAATCTGTTTCGCCAAAAGAGAGGACAGGAACCAACGCCGTACTGAATCATAGAGTTATATATTAGATTTTGAATTGTATTGAATATGATTGCTGAACATAATTATATTATACGTAATTATCGTTTTTTTTTTTTTTATGTTTCAGATTTTCCTATATTTTTATTTACGATTTACATTTTATGAGATGACTATCTATAGAGGGTGGTCCACTGAAATCGAAGATCTTCGATATTTCGTTTATTTTTGATAATATGGAAAAATGTTCTAAATGAAAATGGAATGATGTGGAGAGGGACACGTTTTAGTCATGTTTAAAAGGATATTAAGGACATCATTTCCACTTTTTTAAATGGAATTATGTAATTTTTTTTAGATAATATCATTCCACTAATTATTTTGCACATAAAAGTATTTATGTAGAGATACCAATAAACCATTAATTTACGAGATATTTTATACTTTATCCTGACAAAAAATTTATTTGAGGAGATGCTCAAAACGATGTCCTCGGACTTCAATACACCTGAGAGACGATATTTAAATGATTCTCTTGCCCTCTTTGTCATTTCTGAATTTATACTTGCACATGCAGCCAAAATACGCACTTTCATTTATGAAATGTGGTACGGATGAAATGAGTGGCGTTTCAGAATGCGTAAAATACTTGTCTCTGAAATAATAGAATTCCATTGTATTTGTCGAGAACTAATATGTGGATTATGTGCAACTACAGCTAAAACAGCAACTTCTGCTGCTTCATTATTTTGCAAAGGGGGTCGATTTTTTTAGTTTGTATAAATACTTCCAGACCTGGATGGGTAGAGGAGGACACATCAATTGGCCTGCACATTCTCCTGATTTAAATTTTCTGGACTCTTTTGTACGGGGAACATTAAAAAATATTGTTTACAACGATGGACTAACTACATAGGAGAACACGAAAATGCGTACTTTGGCTGCATGTGCAAGTATAAATTCAGAAATGACAGAGAGGGCAAGAGAATCATTTAAACATCGTCTCCAAAAATGTAATGAAATCCGAGAGGATCATTTTGAGCATCACCTTAAATACATTTTTTGTCAGAATAAAGTATAAAATATCTTGTAAATTATTGGATTATTGATATCTCTACTTTAATACTTTTATATGCCAAACAATTAGAGGAATCATATTTTCTAAAAAAAATTACATAATTCCATTTAAAAAAGTGGAGGTGATATTCATAATTTTTAGCGCCTCCACTTAGAAAAAAAACAACGTGCCTGAAAGGTGTCCCCCTCGACACCGTTCCATTTTTATTTGAAACATCTTTTCGTATTATCAAAAATAAACGAAATATTCAAGACGTGTATGATTTAAGTGGACCACCCTGTATATTACGTAAAGATTTACGCACAAAATACGAAACAATTTTTTTTTTAGATACAATTTTGCTTAACGCAAAAAAAACTATTAGCAGATTGCAAAACAATTGTTTAGAAATGTGACAACTAAAAAAATTAAATTTCTGAAAAAGGAAAGAAATGTTTTTTAACCTGATAGAAAATTGACTAATCTCACATAATATCGAAAATATATACATATAACGTAATCGAATATTATATTTTTGTCACTTTTATTTCGCAATTTTTACAAAACCATCCATTTTGAGTTCTAATGATTTTTTATAAGAATTTAAATTATTTCACTTTAATATTGTATGATTGATAGAGTAGGGTAAAACCATCCAAGAGTGCGTATTCTTTCTTTGAGAAAGAAACAACCTGTATAAGGATCTCAGTTCGCAC